ATGTCTCTGTGTGCGTCTGTCTGTGTGCCGGTGTGTATGTCCATGTTTCTCGGTGTCTCTGTGTCTGTGTCTGTCTGTCTGTCTGTGCTGGGAATGGTTGGTTGAGGAGGCAGCGGTCCCGCCCCCCGGCCAGCACACAGGACTCACATTGTGTTTCCGGATGTGTGGATGTGTGTCCACGCCCACGTCTTTCTGGTAGCTGATGCTGTGTTTCAGCCTCTGCCACTGCGTGCTGTGACACTTCTTCTGCAGCTGACACAGCTGGATCTTGAGGCTCTGAGGTGAGAGGCCTGGGTCATCGTGGGGCAGCAGACTCTTGGGGGCATCTGCCTGGGCCACCCTGAGAAGCTCCCTGCCCACTGCGGTCTGAGTGACCAGGGCTGCTCCAGGCCCGGGAGACGCGGGAAGGGCCTGCCCAGGCCTGGTGTCCCTCACCCGAGCCAGAGCCAGCAGGCTGCGTGCCCTGGCCTTGACCGACTGGGCGGCACCGGGACCCAGCTTGGCCCTGGCCCTGGCCCAGCCGGACTCTGGGCTGCGAAGGGGGAGACTCGGGGCAGACACAGCCTCACTTCTCTGGCCTTTCCTTTTCTTGCTTCAAAAATGAGAACAGCACGGCTGTGACTGAAGGCAAAACTTAAGCCCCTTCCCCAAACATGAGTGGTTAGATGAGGGCTGTTTCCACGCAGTGTTCTGAGCTATTAGAGGTAACAGGGAAGGGACCCCAGGGGACAGGATTCCACCTCGTGGGTGAGGACAGCATTCAGCCGACCCTCGCTTGATCTCCTCTTAAACCAGGAATCACATCCCTGCCTGCAGGTGCTGGAGGGAGGTTTAAATGAGATAAAGCTCATTTAGGTGCTTCTCCCAGTGTCTGGCACCTGCGTGGATCCCGCCCTCAAAGGAAAAGAAACTACTAAGTGGTGTGGTTTTGCAGCACTGCCACTAGGGGGCAGAGACGCTCCAAACATCCCACAGTGGCCCTCTGGGACAAACCAAGCGACTGGTCACACTTCCTCATGTGGCAGTATAGGCTCCATGACGCCCTGCCTTTGCTGGGTGGCTCCCCTGCGGACGTGTGCCCTCTCCAGCAAGAGCACTTCATGTGACACAGTTTGTGTTTGGTGTCTCACGAGAGGGTGTGTCCGCCCCATTTGACAGACAGGGAGACTGAGGCTCAGACAGGACACCCATCCTGCAGCTGGCCAGGGGTGGCCTGGGATTGGAAGCCCCGTCTGCCTGACTCCAGAGCTCTTGGATTTCCTACCCCACGGAAGGCCCTTGAAGCACAGGCAGAGTGACAGGGAGGGAGGAGACCCGAGGTCCCCTGGGGTGGACAGGAAATGGGTCCCCAGCTGCTCTGGCCGGGGTGACCGGCTCCAGGTAGCACTTACCGGCACCAGAGTCCTGTGGCCCTCCTCCAGGAACTCCAGGCTCTGGAGGAGGGCCTGGTTCATCTGGGAGAAGGTGTCCAGGCACTTCCGGGCCTCCTGGCTGGCCGTGAGGAGCCGCCCGTAGTGCCGCACCATGGCTTCCAGCAGGGCCGACTCCGGCTCCTCCCGAAGGCTGCTGTCTGTGGGGACAGGGAGGGCAGGGGCTGGCGCTGACCAGGTGGGTGGGGTGTCTGCGGCTGAGCCCCGAGTTGAGCAGCCCCACACCCGCCCTTGGCCTGGCACCCGAGGTCCTGCCCCAGCCACCCCCCAGCAGCCCTGCCAGCTCCTGCATGGAACCCACCAGCCCCAAACCTGCCACTGTGCCCTGGGGCTGCAGCCCCGTGCCTGCTCTTTGCTGAGTTCATCTGAGCCCCGAAAGAGGTGGCCTCCTCTGTGAAGCCTTTTCTGACCCTCAGGCGGGGTCAGGGCTCCCACGGCCCTGGCCAGTACCTTTAATATGGCCCTGAGCACAGCGGCTGTGAAGACGGATGGATCAGAGGCTTCACCTAGCCCACCACTTCCTGGCTGTGTGATCTTGGGCAAGTTCCTTACCCTCTCTGAACCTGGGTAGCACAGTAGCCCAAGGCTGGGAAGGAGGTGTCATAAAGATTTGCTAAAGAGCTTAGCACAGAGTAAATACTTAATCAATGTTGATCATTATTTTTTATTTTTGATAATAATATTAAAATAAAAAATAACTAAAGTTTTTGTCTCTTCTTTTCTAATGAACTTCCAGCACTTATAACAGTGGACCCTGGAACAAATCATGATAAGACAAAATAATGCCGTATCCCCTTCAAGTACCCACTCTTAGTCCACGATAGCAAAACCAAAAAGCCACAGGCAAAATACCGCTGTCCTTCGGTATCCCAGGGGCTCTGGTTCTAGGACCCCCGTGGACACCAAAACCTGAGGCTGCTCAAGTCCCTTATGTGAGATGCCTTCACCTAGAGCCCGCAGGTCCCGCGTGGCCTTGAAACCTGAGTAACGCCTGAGCCACGTGAGGGTCCGTGAGCTGTGGCCTGTGGCTCAGGAGCAGGGCAAGGCGGGGCGTTGGTCTGCACCTGGGGTTGGCCGGGTCTGCGGATGCGCAGAGGCCCGCGGTGGTGGTCCACGTGGCTCATGTGGCTGAGCGTGGAACGCGGCCCCGGGCTCCTCGCGTGGCGGAATGAGTCTATTTGGTCACCGTCCCTAGAGCTGTTTCCATTAGCCTGAGAGCCAGGGGCGAGCCGGGGCCCCGGGTGGGGACCAGGAGGGGGACTCGGCCCTTCTCAGCCACGGTGGTGGCCTTTCCGGGTCAGCCCTGGAGGCCCCAGGAGGCGCGTACCTTTGGGGATTTTCTCGAGGACCTTCATCAGGTAGTCCTCAAACACCTTGTGCCTCTGCACGGCTCTCTTCAGCTTCCTCTGCCTGTGGGGCCAGAGGCAAGGACGTGGCGTGGGACCCCGGCCCTGCATGGCCCCTTGCCAGGCCACCTCTGTGGGTTCCTGCTGGGCCCTGTGCTGAGCTGGCCACTTCCTGCCACGGCCACGGCCTCTCATCCCGTCTTACTGCTGAGCAAACTGGGTCCCAGACAGGTGCGGGGTGCAGGGTGGGGGTGGTCTACAGACCCCTCCTGGAGTGGGGAGGTGGTGGCCCGTCCAGGAGGCAGACCCCGCCCCTGGCCAGGTGCGCCACCTCCCTGGGCCTGGGTTCTCCATGGGCAATGGTGGAGAGCAGCCCCACAGCAGGCCAGGACCACGTCGGGGGAGGTGGCCCCCGTCCGCCCCTGAGCTGACTCTTGGAGGAACTCTAAGCAAGCAGCGTCCAGTCGGTGGCCTACCTGGGCCCCGTCAAGGTCAGCGCTGGAGGGCAGAGGGCAGGGCAGGGCCAGCCCCAGTCTGCCTCTGCAAACAGGGGCTGTAGTGGCTTCTCAGAGTGACCCCCAGGGACCCAGCAAGCCCCTCTCCCTCTCTGGGGCATGCAGGGGGAGCCGTCTGGCTCAGTACCTCGTGCCCCGCGCCCTCACCCTTCCTGGGGCCCGTCCCTCGCCATCTACTCGGGCTGTAGAGCAGCCTCCACTTAAGGCCCAAGTGAGGGCGGGGACCAGGGTCTCCACTCAGGACCCGCTCACCCTCGCAGATGGACTTCCTGGGGGTCAAGGTGCACTGGGATGGCCGCCTGCAGCCCCTCCTTCATGAGGAGGTCACTCAGCCCCGGGGGCAGGGACTGGCCAGGATCTGAGGTCATCAAGGGGTGGTGCCACGCCTCTCACCTCTCCTGCCACAGCTGGGTTGATTTCAAGGCTTTGCTGCCCGCCCCCGTCCCTTCCCTGGCCTGGCCTCTATGGGGCAGTTCTGCATGTCCTGGCCACTGGGCTCACTGTGGGTGGCGCTGGGGCTGGGGCCAAGGCAGGGGCCAAGGCAAGGCACAGCAGGCCCTGGGACAACACGTACTTGGCCTGCAGCTGGCAGAGCTCCTGCAGCAGCACCTGCAGGTCCCCGTCCTTGTCACCAGGATCGCTTGGGTCAGCTCCTTGGGCTGTGTCCATGGCACCAGAATTGCCCCTCAGCACCCCAGGCCACGCGGGATGGAGGAGGGGTCGAAGGTCAGAACGGTCACAGCAGCGGCTTCCTCCTCATGCTCCCGACAGTCCTCTGCAGCCGGTTAGCAATCCCGCTACACAGGGACGGAAGCGAGGCTCAGAGAGGGCTGGGACCCACTCAAGGTCACACAGCAGAACTGGGTTTGGACTCTGGGCTTATTGAATCTGAAGTCCAGGGCCTTTGGGATATAGGACTGAGAGTGCCGCTCTGCAGTGGCATTATCACCCCAGCCGCCTCACAACTGGTAGGGCCCCATCACCCCCAGATCTTCCAAGAGGAGCTGACTTCCAGCAGCATCTGGGAAAGAGGTTGGGCTGGGAGCAGGGCTGGCTCAGAGGGCCCTCATGACAGCTCCGTGCCCACCGCCCGCCCACCCACTGGGCACCACTCATGCGTGCCTGCTGGAGAGCTGGGCTGGGGCTGAGATGGACACCTCCAACAAGCTGCAGGCCCAAGGGCGGCTAGCAGGGACTCCGCACGGCAGCGCCAAGGGTTCCCAGGGAGCAGAGAGCGGGGGCAGGGCTGGGCAGCCTGTCCACCGCCTGCACTGGACACGGCTTCCTGAGCAGCAGGAGGAGCGGGGCCCAGCTGACTCTCGCGCTCTCCCAGCACAGAGCCACAGCCAGCTGTGACATCACAATGCTGGCTCTGTCCTCGGGACAGACCTGTGTGTGCAGAACCAGAGTCACCATGTCCTGTGGCCCCTATCCCCCGCCCTGCCCTCCTGGTTCAGTTCCATGGAGAAGGGGACAAGAGGCATCGGCCACCCCATGGGACTCATGGGCCTCTGCTTCTAGGCTGGTCACCTGGAGTCAAGGCGGAGGTCCTGATGACCTTGTGTCTGCCCAAATCCCTCCGTCCCCTTCTGCCTGACTTTGGTGACTGACACCTGGGCACGTCCCCAGCACCCCTGTAGGCTTAGCTCCCCAGGACCCGGGGCCAAGCCTGGCCCCATGTGGGCACCAAGCAGAAGGACTCAGGCCTTGGATCCTCCCCTGCCCATGGGTCAGCCTGTACCCATGCAGCGTTGGGCCAGGGTCACTGGGGGCGCTGGGCCTGGTGCCCCTTCTGAATCCTGCCCTGCATCTGCCCTGCTGGCTGGCCAGGCTGACCTGAGCCGGCTCTGTGTGCTCAGGGAGGGAAGTGGGGAGCTCAGGGAGGACAGAGGGGATGCAGGGCCTTGGGGAGGGGCAGAGCGGGGCAGGGCTGCAGGAGGGGGCAGGGGAGCGGGTCTGTGGCTGGAGCCGAGCAGGGGTTGGCACCAGGGTGGGGGCTCGGCTGGTTTCTGGATGACCACAGTTAATGGGGGGCAGAGGGGACCACTCACTGGGATTCTGGGCTGCTCCCTACCCCCGTCTCCTCACTCCCCTCAACCCTCCTGTCAGTGGGGAATGGACCCCGCCCCTGCCAGGCTGTGCCCATGAGCAGGCCCTAAGGGAGCCCCCTGCCCCCGTCCTAGAAACCAGGGCGTGTGGAGCCCACTGAGCCCGGCAGCGGAGGTCCCAGGCTCCGGTCTTGGGTCAGACGAGGGAGGGGCAGGTCCCTGTGAGGGGAACCCGGGTAGAGGGCAGAGGCCCCAGGGCTGCGCTGAGGAGCGCTGGGGCGCAGCTGAGAGCAGGGAGCCGGAGCCAGCCAGGACTCCCAAGGACAAGGAGAAGCCGGTGGGAGGCGTCTGCTAGCAGGGACCGCAGGGCAGAGGCTCAGGGGCACAGAAGGGCCTGCGAGGCCACCAGGCCACAGGCAGGGGACTTGGGCTGAGGCTGGAGGAGCTTCTAGCAGGCAGCAGTGTGACAGGTCACTGTCACAGAGAAGAAACAGATGGCAGGAGGGAGGGAGGTGGGGAGGATGGCGTCCTCTCGGGTCTCAGGAACCCAGAGAGCGCAGCCCATTGGCTGAGCCTGGGCCACGGCCCCGCCCCGGGCTTGACTGACAGCCCCACCCTGGGACCGGCACCTGGCTGCTGCTCTGGGAATCCCGGCTGCTCCGGGGACCAAGGGTTAGGGTTAGGGGACCAAGGGTTAGGGTTAGGGGACCAAGGGTTAGGGTTAGGGGACCAGGGAAGCCCCCAGCGGGCAGCTCTCAGAGGGAGGGTCCTGGTCACACTGTGCGCTTGAGCATGCTCCCCGACTCAGAGGGCAGGAGTGGAGGGGACCAGCAGCGGGGGTGGCGTCTGGGCAGCAGGTTCCACGCACTTTTTGTGGGGGGTTAATTTAGTCCTCAGGACCCACCCACAAGGTCGAAGATGATATTTCAAATGGGGAAACTGAGACGCAGAGAGGTTGGATAACTTGCCCAAGGTCTCACTGTTGTGAAATAGCCGAGTTGTCCTTCCAGGGAGTTGAGATCCAGACCATGCGGGAAGTTGAGTTGCGAGGACTTGGAGAGGGATCAACAGGGTCCTATCAGCCAGGATGTAGAGCTGGGAGGCTGTTCTTGAGGGACTCCATCAGCATCTCTGACCCTCCTGTGGCCTGAAGCAGGTGCTGGGGCAGCTTACCTGCAGCATTCCTTCCCAAACCCCAGAACCTCGCTCGCTCGCTGCCCAGAAGCTGAGGTCCCTAACCCACGTGGCCCCCAAAAGCCATAGGCACGAGGCTGGGGCGTTGGCAGAACCATTGCTTCCCAGTGAGGGCTTATCTTGGCCTGAAGAGTCCCATGAAGTGCCCAGAGAACACACAGATGAGGCTGGGAGGGACCGTTTCTCCTGGTCAGCCCTGGCAGGTGCCGGTCATCATCAGGGGTGGCCCTATTATAGTCAGCACCTGGCTCTTCTCCTGGAGCGCGTCTGGGTTAGGACCTGGTAGCAGGGCTGCCACATCGCCTGGGGGACCCGGTGCACAGTGAAAACGCGAGGCTGTCATTAAGGATCAGTAAGAATTGCAAGACGGGATAGCAGAGGAGAAAATGGAACGTGGCTCTTCTGCGCACAGACCCACGCGAGCACACACGGGGCCCAGGAAGTCCAGGCCTGGGTATCCCACTCTGCCCTGCTCCTCCCAGGCCCTCCGAACTGCCCTGCTAGCTTCTCTCTCTCTCTCCCATGGACAGGCTTTGGCTACCTGCCGAGGACACACAGCTGGGGATGGCCTAGTTCTCTGACCTCTGCTCAGCCTCTGCCCTGGGGCAGAGCTGCCCGTCAATGGCAGTAGAACCAGTGAAACCCACCTTTCCAAAGGCCTGAGCCCTCAGGGCCTGGATCATTAGGTGCAGCTGGAGAAGGGATCCGATCCAGCTTCCCTGCCCAGAATTCCAACCTCATCCTCACAGCAGCCCCAAATGTTCCCAAGAGGGACAAAGCCAGCCTGTCTCCCGCCCGAGGGATGCTCAGGATGCAGAGTGAGGCTGCAGCTGTGGAGTCAATGGGAGACCAGCTGTGTGACCAGAGGAGAAGCACACAGCCTCTCTGAGCCTCAGGTTGCTCACAGGCAGAGTTGAGAGAGGGTGAGGAAACAAACTTGCTCTGCTGATCCACCTGAAGTTTCCCAGACAGGCATTTCTGGCCTCCTGCCCTCCTCACTGAGGGAGAATCTCCGCGGTCCACCTGGCCCTTCCCTCCGTCCTTGGCACATGAGGACACAGATCCGGAAGCAGCCCAGGGCCCAGGCAGCCCTGCTGAGGTCCCGCTCCTCGGAGCTTCGGCCGGGCCCAGTCCTGCTGCCCCCGGCTCATCCTTACCCTGCCCCGGGAAGGTTCTGGGCTGGGGAGTCACCAGCAGGTCCTGGGATATCCAGGCCATCCCTGGCCCAGCCCTCCTGAGACCCGACCTCCGTGGGAGGGAAGACCGACCCCTGGTCCTGGTCCACCGGGGGCTGGGCTTCCCAGTGTCCAGGGTCTCAGTCCCCTCCCGGCAGCACCTGAGAGGAACCACCCTCCAGGGGACAGAGGTGGGCCGGGCGCTCTGACCTCAGGGGCCAGGTCAGGGGCAGCCAGGGACATCCCTGTTTCCTCCTGTCCAGAGCCTTAACTCCAGGTCTGGGGGACAGGGGAGTCAGGAATGGCCGACTGGGTTCAAGCCACGTCACCTTCCTGCTCTGAACCTGGGATGCAAGTTGAACCTGCAAGGCCATTGATTCTGCCTCCAAGACCTCTAGAGTCCCTCCTCCTCCCTCCGCTGACCGGCCTGGCCTTGGTCTCCCCAACCTGCACCAAGCCACCGCCTCCCTGCACCTGCGGCTTCAGGCCCCTGCAGGCCGTTCTCCACCCGGCCACCAGGGGGAGCACGTCTCAGAAAATCCAACCTCCCCATTTCCCTGCAGAAAACCAGTGACCTGCAGGTGACTGTTCAGCATCGGGCTGTCCAGGGGGAAAGCTGTTCTTGTGGCCCTGGCCAGTTTCCATGGGGGGAATTCTCCCACTGTGGTTGGCTTCGGCTCCTAACAGTTTAACAACAAAGGTGCCTGGAGGAGCAGCCCGCGTGTCACTGGGTCTGGTGGCCACTGCGTTAAATCACCAATGAAGTCAAATTCCCGCTGTTGGGGCCCCGCCGTGGCCATCCCTCTCACGTTGTCTTTTCTGTCCCCTTTCCCTACCACAGGGCCTTTGCACCCGTGGTTCACTCTGTCCTCCTTGCCATGCTCCCGGCTCTTACAGTGCCCTCTCCCTCTTGCCTCCTCAGAGTGGCTCCCTGACCACATACGGTCACCCCTCGGCACTCTGAGTCATCTCCCTCCCAGCTGGAATGTGATCTCCATGAGGGCAAGGACGGGGACTGATGGGTCCTGCTAGAGTCCTGGTGTCTAGGATAGTAGTGCACACAGCAGGCACTCAATCGATGCATGGTCACCAGCAGAGGTCTGGAGAGACAAGGCTTTGGGTTTGAGTCACGACTCCCCCATCAAGGAGCGTAGGCGTCATGAGTCACAAAGGTCTTCGAGTCTCGGTGTGCTCACCTGGGTGTGGGGACAGTCACAAATGTCTTCGAATCTCGGTGTGCTCACCTGGGTGTGGGGACAGTTGTACCCGTAAGATGGAGCGCGAGAACCTAGCGGTGACACAGACAAGAGGCTTGGGACGGTTGTGTCACTCCAGGACCTCAGAAGTGAGAGCGGCATCTTCGCCTGCACAGATCCCGTGCAGCCAGCGTCCCCCCTCCACGGTGGCCTCCTGCCCTGGGCCAATCTGACCATGGGGTGTCAACCTTCCCCTGGGCTGAGTCCAGATCTGTGCCCCGTAGTGACCCCCCGTAGTTCCAGCCACTTCTTCCCCACGTGGGGAGTCTCAGGTCATTAGAGCCACTAGGGTTGGGACGGAGGTTGATTGTGTCCTTCCTCCATAACGATAGCAAACAGCGAGGTGGTCAACTGGTGAAGAGGGAGGGCTGATCTGGCTCTCAGGTGTGGAGGGTCCCATCCACGACCTGTGGCTTTTAGGCCTCTGGACGGGGCAGCTGCACGTGGCCGAGCAAAGCCGCTTCCCTCAAGATCAGGATGAGAAAGAGAGAAACAGGAAGAGGCTGGGGTCCCACAAGGCCTGAGGACCCCCCAGTAGGCAGGGGACTTTAGGACTCCTAAGGGTCCCGCCACCTCCCAGGAGTGCCAAGCTGGGGTCCAAGTGTCTAGCACAGGAGCCTTTGGAGAGCATTCCAGATCCAAATCACGGCACAGACAGAGCTGTGAATTTTGGCATGAAAAGACCACAAAGGGCAAGTCCGTCATCTCCTCTTTCATCATGAACCGTCTGACCTCACCTGAGTCTTAACCTCCCTGAGCAAAACAAGGTTAACAACACAGGGGGTCCCCCTTATCCCTGGAGGAGGCTTCCTGCGGATGCCTACAACTGTGATAGTACTGAGAACTATATAGACGGCGTTTTCTCCTAGGCATACACACCCTATGACAAAGGTTTATTTATAAATTAGACCCAGTCAATAATAATAAAATGGAACAATTATAGAAATATACTATAGTAAAAGCACCAACATCACTACTGCTTCGGGGTCACTAGTAAGTAAGAGAAGCATTACCTGAACACGAGCATTGTGATACCACAATGGCCAATCTGATAAGAGGAGACAGCAACTAAGTGACCAACAGGAGGGTAGCATACACAGCATGGATACACTGAATAAAGGGATGATTGGTTTTCCAGGCTGAATGGAGTGGGATAGCAAAAGATTTCATCATGCTACTCAAAAGAATGACATGCAATTAAAAACGTGTGAAATATCTATTTCTGGAATTTTCCACTTAATGTTTTTGGACCTCAGTGGTCACAAGTAACTGAAACTGTGGAAGAGAAACTGCAGAAAAGTGTGTGTGTGGGGCTACTGTCACGGCTACCTCTAAGGCTGTGGTGGACATTAAATTAGTCAATATACCCAAAGCACTTAACATCAATTGCTATTATTACTATTATTCTGCATTCCAGCTTTTGTGACCATTCTTTGGTCCACAGCCATTTGTGGTTAAGGCCAGGCCTCTCTTGCGTGCTTTCCAGCTAAGCAGGGAAACGGGCCAGTTCTGTCTGGGTCACCCACCTCCGCTTCACCCCTGTCCATCGGAGCTGTCCCCTCACAGCCCACAAGAGGGCGTCTTGGCACTTTCCAAAACCTCCCTCAGGCATACCTGACCCTGGGTGGTCTCCATCGGCGGGGATTGGAGGGAGAGGTCTCAAACCTGGGGGTGGGGGTGCTGAAAGTCTCCAGCTGGGGTCTCCTGTCAGTTTCCTGGGTGGCCTGGACTCGGCCCTTTTTCATATCATTTTTTAGGGATCCTGATGTTCTTAAAAATGCTGGCAGCAGCTGGGGACGTCAGTGAGGAGAGAGAGCAGGAGCTACAGGGGGGAGGGAGGGAGGGAACCAGGATCCAGGATGCCCTGTGATTTCCCCCAAGGTCCCTGGGGCTGTGACAACGTTGCTCGGTCTCCCCTGGAGTATGTTCTCCTCCACGGCATCAGAGATTTTGCAGGGGGATTCGAGGTCACGAGTCAGTGGGCCTTGCGATGATCCCTGGGTCGGGCCCTTTAAAGGCAGAGCGTTTCCTCTGCTGGTGGCAGAAGATGCGGGTGGGGTGAGGAATCCGAAGTGGGGGCGGGACTCGCTGGGAACAGGGTGCATCCTTCTCTGGGCTGAAATGCCAGGGGTCATGGGCAAAGTCCAAAGAAGCCATTAGAATTGAGAACAGTCCCCAGCCAACAGCAAGAGAATGGGACCCCTTCCCACGGCCACAAGGAGCTGAGCTGGCAACCCACTGGGGACGTAGGAAAGTGGATTCTCCCCAAGCCTCCAGAGCACAGCCTGGGCCCCGACTCCGGCCTTGGGAGGCCCAAAGAGAACCCAGTTGAGCCCTCCCAGATTCCGGACCCCAGCACATCTGAGTGGGTCCAGGAAAGACCCCAGGAGACACAGGAAGGACTCACGGCTAGATCCTGGGGGCTCTGGGGACCATTGCATGAGAAGCCAGGTCAAGGAGAGTTTCAAGCCACCACTTGACCTGTCCCAACTCCGGCCAGGGGAACATACTTGGTGGAAACCCTGAGGGATTCTCCTGAGGGATGTGGGGCAGGAGGAGGGCCACCCACCTGCCCAGCAGAGCATGCTGGGTACGAGAGCTGCACTACAGGACCCCCCCCCCTCAGAGCAGCATTCACCCTGGGGGGAGGCGGGACCCAGCAACTGGTACCCTGGGTGGTGGTATGCTCCAGCCCTGGCAGGCTTCAGGAAGGTATGGCATGTCCCTGTGTGTCACCCTGTGCCTGCTGTTCTTATCCAGTCTGTGCCTCTTGTCCTGGGGCCCAGGCCACCAATGCCTGTGACCTGGGAGCAGGGTTCTGAGACTTAGCCAAGGTCAAGAGACTGGCTGGCCCTTTAGAGAGCAACCTATTCTACCCCCAGGACCCGCAGCAGCTTCTCGATGACTCTGGAGGACGGGTACGGCCTCCCCCAGGATGGGCACAGGCCTGGCCCCCCCAGGATGGGCGCCATTGAAAGGCTGTGCTTGTGACCTTGCTGCCCTTTTTTCCTGAGCAGGGCCCTCGATCAAGCCTTTGCCGCAAGACCTCATTGACACGCAGACGCACAGGGCCCTGCGTGCAGAAGCCCCTGGTTAAGCCTCCACCGTCGCTGTCTTGAGACTCGCCGTCATTTCCGAGCCAGGGCCTGCACTTTCTCTGCGCACTGGCCCTGCAGATTCTGGAGCAGCCCTGACCTGTGTCCTTGTCTGCAGAGCCTCAGCCTCAGGAGGGAGAATGAATGCACCCATCTTCCCGGCAGAAACCTGTCGGCGCCTGTGACCCAGGGATCGGGCACCAGGGTTTGGTGCTTGGTCGATTCTTTCAAAGCATCTGAAGTCACCCTGGGGACGGGGCTGGGGGTCCTCCTCTTGGCCTTTACAGGCCTCAATCCCATTGATTTCTGCAAAGTAGGGATGACCCAAGCTGGGGCTGTCTCTTTCTGTCCAGTGTGAGCCTCGGGGTGCAGGCAGTCACCCTCCCCAGCTTCGTCCTCAGGACCAGCAGCGCAAAGCCACCTGTTCAGTGGTGAACAGAGACTGGACGGCGGGGAGAAGGGAACCCAGGTCTCGACAGGACAGCAGCAGCTCCACGCAGGTCCGTGCCTGCCCCCCGGCCAGATGGTGGCCTCTCAGCTCTGTGACCTTGCTCCTTTGAGTCAGGGGACAGGGGAGCATGTGACGGACACCACCACAGGTTGGGAGTTAATGCTGGCCTTGACCTTCATGGGACCCGTCGAGAGGAATCAAGTGTCCTCTGCATGTGATGAGTGTCGCAGATACCGGAGTCCCCTTCATGTGCCCTCAGCATGACCACTGGGCACACAGCCCAGGCTTCCACTGCAGTCCTTGCCTGAGCCTCCTCTGCCCAGTATAGAGGCCACGGAGGCCGGGCCCAGAGGGAGCTCAACACCCAGCTCTGGACCCCCTCAACGGGCAAGTCAGAGGCCTGGCTGGGCGCTGTGGGCCGGCTCCCGTCAGCCGGCTCCGCTCCCATCTCACTCCTCGGCTCCTTTGACACCTTCTGTGGGGTCCTGTTAGGGTTTGGTGTGACTTGTCCCCTAAGTGTTCCAGTGGTGGAGGCTTGGTGCTCAGTGTGGCTGTACTGAGGTGGCGGAAGCCAAGAGGTGGGAGTGGTGAGGTCCCCGGGTGCTGCTCTTAGGAAGGGATTGACACAGTTCTCGTGGGACCCAGTTAATTCCTCGGAGAGTGAATTGTGGTAAATGGCAGGCTCTTGAATCTCTCTCTGGCTTTCTGTCATGCCATCTCTCCCTCTTGCATGCTTGCCAACCATGATGCCATTGGCCGTGACGTGACCCATCCAAAGGGGCCCTCACCAGAGGCCAAACTATGGGCTTCCCAGTCTTGGACTTTCAGCCTACAAAGATTTCTACCAACTTCCAGGGTTGGACTTTTCTTTATAAATCACTCAGCCTTGGGTGTTTTGTTATAGCAATAGAAAACATACTAATACAGATCTCTTCTTCAATGCACAATCAGAACTCAAATCTTCATCTCAGGACCTGTTTCTAGGGAACCTTCACCA